AATCATTAATATTTTAAAATATTAATAATTTATTTAATTTAAATATTATTATGACTAATTATTTTATCTTATTTTATTTTATTATTATCAATTAATAATTGATAATTTATTTAAAATATTAATAACTGATAATTTAAATATTAATATTTTATTTATAACTTAATAATTAATATTTTAAAATATTAATATTTTATTTATTTTAAAGAATATTATGATCAATTATTTATTTTATTTTATTTTTAAATATTAATAATTGATTGTTTATTTAAAATATTAGTAATATATAGTTGAATATTAATATTTTATTTATAATTTAATCATTAGTATTTGAAAATATTAATATTTGGTTTAATTTAAATATTATTATTAATTTTTTGTTTTATTATATTTTTTAAATATTAATAATTGATAATTTAATTATTAATATTTTATTTATAATTTAAATATTTTTCTTTTTTATTTTTAATTTATTTTATTTTTAAATAGTAATAAATTATAATTTATTTGAAATATTAATAATTGATAATTTAAATATTTTAATTTTATTTATAATTTAATTTTTAATATTTTAAAATGTTAATATTTTATTTATAATTTAATATTAATATTTGAAAATATTAATATTTTATTAGAAGTTGGAAACAAGGGAGAGAGTGGGGAGAGGGAAGAAATAATATTTTATACAAATAAGGTTGTGATTTTTCAAACTTGTAAGGGGTATTTTGATCTCTACAATTTTTTGAGTTTATTCTTCAATCATGGAATAGCTAATACCATAGGAGATGGTAGTATTAGCTATTACTTAGTTTTTGAGGATTTTGGAGAATAACCATTCTTGTGGAATGGCTATTGCTTGAGCTATTTGACAACGAAATAAAGGAACCAAAGTTAAAGTTAATTGAGCACTACGGTCCACGTTAAGATAATTTTAATCTTATGTTAAAAATTAGGATTTTAAATTAGCACACCAAATAAGATTTAGAACTATATAGTTTAATAATAATCTGTTTAAAAAAAAATCCTATTTCATTGAGTATTTTTTTTTCTTTTTTTTATTTGAGACAATTACAAAAATCTTAGTGATTGTCATATATATATATATAGAGAGAGAGAGAGAGAGAGAATTTACATTTTTGGTGGAGCATTTTCAGTATTGACTAGCAAAAATTAGAAAATGCCAAAATAGACATCCTAAAAATGCAGAAGGGGCCGAATCTACACCATGAATTGCAGTTGCCTAAATATAAATGCATAGCTGTCTTTATATGGGTTGGCTACTGTACGTAATTGATATCAAAGATCCCATGAGGAGATATTGATCATACATTGCCCCAAACTTTCCTCTGTTCAGCTTATCACCAGTTAATCATCACCTGCAAAAGATAACTTGCTCGGAAAGCTATTTTGCCTTGCTGGTGTTGGTGGAGTATAAGGGAGCAAGAACTATCGTGAACTAATTGCAAACGTCGGTAAGTTACCCTCTGTAAACACGCACTCTGAATTATATATACATATATATAGGATTATGTCTTTTTTTCTCTAATTTTTAAAGCTATTGAAAACCTGAATATATATAGGAATGCATTCCATAATTTGATTCAATAATAGATGCCCGTATTTTGTTTTTTTCTTAACTAAAAAGGATTGTATGTATACGTGTTTGATTGCACTGATCAATCAAGCTCTCTTCCTCCCATCTATTGCAAATAGAGTCTGAAATCTGAAGAGCATCTGTACGATATGGAGGATGGAGTGGAAGCCCCAGGCCCGCTATGGAAGA